CTCCCTCGACCTGCTGGCAGCACTCTGCCTAATGCACCCCAGGATCCCATTGGCCTTCTTGGCCACAAGGGCACATGGCTGCCTCATGGTTAACTTGTTGTCCACCAGCACTCCCAGGTCCTTCTCAGCAGAGCTGCTTTCCAGCAGGTCAACCCCCAGCCTGTACTGGTGCCTGGGATTATTCCTGCCTAGGGGCAGGACCCTGCACCTGCCTTTGTTAAGCTTCATGAGGTTCCTCTCCGCCCAGCTCTCCAGCCTGCCCAGGTCCCTCTGAATGGCAGCACAGGCCTCTGGGGTATCAGCCACTCCTCCCAGCTTTGTATCATCAGCAGACTTGCTGAGGAGGCACTCTGTGCCTTCCTCCAGGTCATTGATGAATAAGTTGAACAAGACTGGACCAGTACTGACCCCTGGGGGACACCGCTAGCTACAGGCCTCCAACTAGACTCTGTGCCACTGACCACAACCCTCTGAGCTCGGCCATCCAGCCAGTTCTCAATCCACCTCACTGTCTCATCCAGCCCTCACTTCCTGGGCTTGCCTAGGAGGATGTGATGGGAGACAGTGTCAAAAGCCTTGCTGAATTTCAAGGTAGACAACATCCACTGCTCTGCCCTCATCTACCCAGCCAGTCATTCCATCACAGAAGGCTATCCGATTGGTCAAGCAGGATTTCCCTTTGGTGAATCCGTGCTGACTACTCCTGATCACCTTCTTGTCCTCCACATGCTTAGTGATGACCTCCAGGAGGAGCTGTTCCATCAGCTTTCCAGGGATTGGAGGTGAGGCTGACAGGCCTGTAGTTCCCTGGCTCCTCCTTCTTGCCCTTTTGGAAGACTGGGGTGACATTGGCTTTCTTCCAGTCCTCGGGCACCTCTCCTGTTCTCCATGTTCTTTCCAAGATGATGGAGAGTGGCCTAGCAATGACGTCCACCAGCTCCCTCAGCACTCGTGGGTGCATCCCGTCAGGGCCTATGGATTTGTGGGTGTCGGCTTTGCCTAAATGATCTCCAACCCGATCCTCCTCCACCAAGGGAAAGTCTTCCTTTCTGCAGACTTTCTCCCTGGTCTCCAGGATCTGGGTTTCCTGAGGGCCGGCCTTAGCAGTGAAGACTGAGGCAAAGAAAGCGTTCAGCAACTCTGCCTTCTCTGCGTCCTCTGTCACCAGAGCCCTGGCCCCATTCAGCAACGGGCCCACGTTTTCCCTAGTCTTCCTTTGGTTATTGATATGTTTGAAGAAGCCCTTCTGGCTGTCCTTGACATCCCTTGCCAGATTTAATTCCAAACGGGCCTTGGCCTTTGTCGTCGCATCCCTGTATACTCTGACAACATCCCTATATTCCTCCCAAGTGGCCTGTCCCCTTTTCCACATTCTGTACACTTCCTTCTTCTGCTGGAGTTTTGCCAGGAGCTCCTTGCTCATCCAGGCAGGTCTCCTGCCTGCTTTGTTTGACTTCTTACTCATAGAGATGCACTGATCTTGAGCTTGGAAGAAGTGATGCTTGAATATTAACCAGCTCTCCTGGATCCCTCTTCATTCTAGGACCAGAACCCATGGGATTCTTCCAAGAAGGTCCCTGAAGAGGCCAAAGTTAGCTCTCCTCAAGTCCAGGGTTGCAATCCTACTCATTGCCCTGCTCCCTCCTTGCAGGATCCTGAACTCCACCATCTCATGGTCACTGCAGCCAAGGCTGCCCCCAACCTTCACATCTCCAACCAGACCTTCCTTAGCACAGCTCTCCTCACTGGCTCCTCCATCACCTGTGCCAAAAAGTTATCATCAATCAATGCTCTGCAGAAACCTCCTGGATTGCTTGTGCCTTGCTGTGTTGTTCCTCCAGCAGATATCAGGGTGGTTGGAGTCCCCCCTGAGAACCAGGGCCTGTGATCGTGAGGCTACTTCCAGCTGTCTGTAGAAGGCTTCATGTACTTCCTCTTCCTGATCAGGTGGCCTGTAGCAAACACCCACAACAGTGTCACCCATGTTAGCCTGCCCTTTAATCCTTACCCATAAGCTCTCACCTTGCTCTTCATCCACCCCTAGGCAGAACTCCATACAGTCCAGTTGCTCTCTCACATTAAGAGCAACTTCACCACCTTGCCTTCCTGGCCTGTCTTTCCTGAAAAGCACATAGCCATCCATGGCAGCATTCCAGTCATGCGAGCTATCCCACCATGTCTCTGTAACTGCAATGAGATCATAGCCCTGTGACTGCACCCAGATCTCTAATTCTTCCTGTTTATTCCCCATGCTGTGTGCATTGGTGTATAGGCATTTCAGAGAGGTAGTTGAGCATGCAGGTTTTCCAGGAGGGGTGCAATCACGTCCTCCATAGTCATGTCCTGTGCGCACTTCCCTGGCTGCATGCACTCGCCGGAGGCATCCTGACTTGAGCCGCGTTCTGCTGACTACCCTGTCTCTATAACACTCCCCTTCCCCCATCTTGCCTAGTTTAAAGCCCTCCTTACCAGGCTGGCCAACCTGTTGGCAAAGGGGACACACGTGCCCCGCTTGGTGAGGTGGATCCCATCACTCCCCATCAGTTGTCAATCTTCAGACAGGGTCCCATGGTCATAGAAACCAGAACCCTGTTGCCAACACCAGCGGCACAGCCAGTTGTTAACTTGCAGAATCCGTCTACTCCTCCTCCCATCCTTCCCCCTCACTGGCAGGATTGAGGGGAAAATGACCTGGGCCCCCAGACCCTTGACCACCATTCCCAGAGCTCTGAAATCCTGTTTGATGGTATCCAATTTGCCCTTTGTAACATTAGTGGCCACATGAAAGAGCAGCAGAGGGGAATAGTCCAATGCATGGACAAACCTTGGCAGTCTTTCCATGACATCTTGTATTTGAGCCTCTGGCAGGCAGCAAACCTCTCTAGAGGTCAGTTCAGCAGTTAGGCGCCTCTGTCCCCTGCAGCAGGCAGTCACCCACAACAATCGCTCGCCACTTTTTCCGGCTGTTCCTGCATAGCATGGGGTCTGTCAGCCCAGTTGCTTCCCTTGAAGCCATGCCCATCTCCTCCTCAGCTTGGAGGGCACTAAACCTGTTCCTCAACTGCAAGTCTTGAGGGGGAGCAAGAGCCTTTCTCTTCCTATGAGAAGTGACCAGTTTCCAGCCTTCTTCTATAGTGTTGTGATGTACCATTTCACATGGCACAGAGCCATCTGGGAACTCCACTGCTGTGGGGGGGTTTGGACTCCTGGAGCTGTATGGTCTCCGAGAATACCCTGTTTATCTCTTGCTCATCTTCTCAGATGCTACGCAGCCCACTGCCTTCCTCCCGTAACTCCTTTACCTGATGATACAACTCGTTAACAATAGCACACCTTCAGCAGGCGAGCTGACTGTCAGGCCAGGCCGCGCGAGCGCTCCCTGCAGCCTGAGATCTGTAGAGCAGCATCTGCTGTCTGAGGGTCTGTCTGGGTCAAAGCTTCTGACACAGCTGATGCAGCGCCTCCAGCAGCTACTGGGGAATGTGCTCTGTGGCATGTCATTACCATATTTGAGGAAGCGTACAATACTAGGATTGGAAACGAAGGTGCCTTCTGGCACCCTTCTGCGCAAACTGCTGCGTCTGTTTGCTGCCTCTGTTAGCTACGCTCTAGGCCTGGTTCTTATATAGGCCTCTCCCTAGCAGCTTCAGGCCAGGGCAGAGACAGCCTCGGCAGGGACACCGCAGCTGGGAGAAAGCACAGGTACTAAAGGCTGGCTGCACTGTGTTTATTAGTAACTCCAACACAGGGATCACAGACTGCTCCACATGACCAGAGTGGGGTGGGGCGGGGTCATCCCAGGTAGCTGGGTTTAAGGCCACAGAGCAGGTGATTCAGTACACCTGGAGCCCCCTGCCACTGCGTGCTCTCTTGCTGGGGCAGGCAGTGTGTGCTGTGCTGCCTCTCACCAAGGAATAGTTTTGCCTTCCCAGTTGAGCAGGCTCCCGTTGTGCTTCTCGGACAGAATCGGCAGTACAGAGAGCAGCCCCCGCACACTTGTGTCCACTGTCAGGTCAGCCTGCAATGATCCAGCAAAAGGACATGGGTGAGGAGCAGGACTGAGATGCCACAGCCAATGCTGGCCATCCACCAGCATGCACTCAGCTTGGGCACATCCACAGCAAGGCTCCTTCTGCCCAGACTCAGTGTGAGAGCCACAGGAGGGGGGACAGGTCAGTTATGTGAATGGAAAGCAGGTACCACATGCTCATGGGCAGCTCGGACAGAGGTGGCTTGGGCTAGGAAGCCAGCTGCAGGCTTTGCGAGCAGGGACAGTAACCACACATATTGGCTTAGCCAAGGAGGTCATGTAAAACATCCTGCTGCAAGTGTGATGCTAAATGCAGGCTTCTCAAACCTCCAGGGCTGCAGGGACAGCCCTCCCCAAAACAGGGATCCTGCAGTGTGAATAGGATAACCAGAGACCTCCTGGGCCTGCAGCTCCCTGAGGAAGGAGGTGCAGGATAAGAAAGTGCTTCTCTGCTCATCCCTGCTCCATTGAATCCAGGTTCTCTGCTGTTCTCTGGGCCTGTCCAAAGCCTTTCCCCCCTGAACAGACCTCCTGCTAGCCCTAGATGTGCTGCCCTGGCACAGGGCATGTGCTGATGCTATTTTCCAGAATGCCTCTGCAGTGAAGTATTTCTCAGGCAGAGCATACAGGCTTTGCAGGGGCTCAGCACAGACCGAGGGAACTTGCGGCCTAGCAGGCAGCAGCTCCTTCTCATATGCCTCCCCCCTCCCGAGAGCAGTCCTGGCCACCTGAGGCCAGTGTGAGTTTGCAGGGCTGGATCCTGCACGTGGGGCCCTCTCACCCCTGCCTAGCCAGAACCCACCTCCTGGGTGCCCATGTCAGTTTTCACCCAGCCAGGGTGAAGCGCCACGCAGAGGATCCCGGTCTCTCCATAGGTCAGAGCCTGGCACTTGGTGAGCATGTTGAGAGCAGCCTAGAAGACATAGGGAGCATAAGCAGCAGGCAGAGCTTACCAGTTGAAATGCCTGCACCAGGCTACACTCTGACAGTCTGCCTCAAGGCGAAGGAGAAAAACCTATGCCGGGTCTCCAGGAGACAACACAGAGCGTGTGTCTTCCCTCAGTGGGCAGTGGCCAGGCATGGAGATGCCCAGAGAGCTCAGGCTGCAATTGGCAGTTAAGCCTTCCATCTTGCAAGCTCAGGTGCTGCCCTGAGACCAGGCCTGGCAAGGTCTGGCTCTTGCTCCTGCTGAGCTCACGAGGGCAGGCAGGGCCCCGGTCTCCATACCTTGCTGCAGCGATAGGAGATGACAGGCTTGAAGAAGGACTCAGAAGTTTTCTCGATGGACCCCATGACGGTGGAGATGTTGACGATGGCTGCCTTGCTGCAACTCAGTCCCTTGTCCATGCTTTCCTGGGCAGCCTTCTTCAGCAGGGGAAGAAAAGCCTGGGGAGAAGCAGCATTGCGAGGTGCCTGTGCCTAGAGCGAGCACCACTTCTGGCAACTGCAGCTCAGCCTCTCCGCAACAGGAAGGATGAGAAGGAACAGTGGGAGCCCGGGTGTTTTGCTGCAGTGGCCATGCCTCCTCCCTCCCAGGGCCCTTTGCAAAGTAATCTGGGATCTCTGTCATGACCACAACAGAGATGTGTGGCCAAAGACATAGGAAATGGAGGCCAGGCCCAGATTCCCAGCCAAACGGCTCCAATCCCAAGGGGAAGCTCCTGCACTAAGAAACTGCTGTCAGGATGAAGCACAAGGCTGCAGTTTAGCTCCCTGCCTTGGCTTTGATTTCAGCACAGAGGAGCAGTGCCTAATGCTCTTGCTCCGTAGCACCAGAGAAAAAAAGGCAGTTTGTCCTGCATGGTCTGTGCTGCCTCGCTCCAAGCCTCAACCAGCTGCGTGCTCCTCCAGAGATGCACAGGCAGCCATGCTCTCTGTATCTCAGGCTGCAGCCCTAGCTAGGTTCAAATTCCCCCTCTGTAGTGACTTCTGTCTCCAAGGTTACCTGGGCCATCAGCAACGGCCCCACTGCATTGGTCTTGTATGCCCTTATCATCTCTTCAGAGTCTACCGTCTCCAGTGTCACTGGGGCATAAATGCCAGCATTATTTATCAGCAGATTCAGGCCTGCGCCATTCAGCTTCCCCTCCACGATTTTCACTGCATCGATAATGGCTGAGGGATTGGCAACATCTGCAGAGAGAGATGACAGGGTTGGGAGCCATGGCTGATCCAATATTCCCCAGGCAGAGGTGTCTCCATTTCCCTGTAGAGCCAGAGAGGTCTTGGGGCTGACTGAGGACCAACAACGCTCAGAGATGGATGCTCCTGTGGAAATCTCAGACTGGAGTTTTTTGGGCAGGGGGAACAGCCTGGCCTTGAGCTAAGCCGTGGTGGATGGCCAGACCATGGCACACTCAGACTGCCCTGGGTCGGCTGCACAGGCTGCAGTCTTAAAGCAGTGCCTGTCCTATGGCAACACCTGCTCTCCTGGGAGAGCCATTCACAGAGGCCAAGGATGCTAACTGGCCTGTCCAGTGCTGGTTGGACCCTTCCATACAGGGGAGGGCTCCAAACTGGACTCCTGGTGCAGAGGAATGAATCCCCAGAACAGCACACTCTCACACATGAGGGAGCACAACCTGACAAAAGGAGCTGCTCCTGGCACCACTTGCAGTTGGCTGTGAGCAGGTGCATCTTGACTGGACTTATCAAGGGTGCTCGAGAAAAAGGCCTGACTGTGGTTAGCACTGTCCCTGCCTGGGGAAAGTCTGATTTCTGAATGCTAGGCATCTTTGTAACGTCTGCATCCAGGGTCTACCCAAGGGAGAAGAAGCAGACCTGACCTTCGTGGTCTCCCATCTGTGGACACCAGATGGTGCTGTGCAACCAGCTCAGAGCATTCTGAAACCCACAGGTCCCAACAGGTCTCATAGCTGTCATTTCTGCCCCACAGAGTGAGCTCAGGGTGCTCCACTACCATCAGCCCAAGGGCTCCCCCCGGGGCATCCTACAGGGCAAAGCCACCCTGGAGACAGCTCCATGGTGGCAAGTGCTGCTGTGCCTTCCCTGCTGTGTCACGATAGGCACCAGCAGCCATGGCCTCCCATCAGTGGACAAAGTCCTTCCTTAAGCAATTTCTGAAGAGCTGTGAGGCAGAGCGAAAGGTGGAACAGCCCCGACATGGGCTGTGTCGGGTCCTACTGCAGGCTTGCTCTGCAGGACCCTATAGGCCTGTGCAGGCTCTGGGCCAGCCACACAGCTTTTCCAAGGCAGCTGCCTTCCTCCCAGAGCCCTCCAGGTCTCGCAGGCATATCTGGGACTTGGGGTCGACGCGGCTCAGCTGCATCATGGTACAAGGAAGCAACAACTCTGCTAGCAGAGTTGGAGGTGCCCAGGACTGGTCTCAAGTGCCTCCCAGTCCTGTGGCCACAGGACAAGGGGGCTCCAAGGAGCAGGGTACTGAGGGCAGGGAGATGCAGGGGCTGAGGTAGGTCCAGAAGAGCAGGGCGTTCAAAAATGGCACTTGAAGCCAAAGTGTTGGACAGCTCTTAAAAACTGAAGACCAATATAGAGCCTGCAGGTGGGGAAGGAGAGAAGGGAGAAATGGGGCCTGTGTGGCTGGCAGTGACTGCAAATGCATCCACTCAGAGGCAGAGCGCACCTACCCAGCTTCACAAGGACCAGGTTTGGGTGCCTGGACGCCAGATCTCTCAGCTCCTACAAAAAGAAACATGGAAACAGTTAGGGCACCAGCAATCATCCACTCTAAGGGAAACATCTTCCAGTGGGTCTTGCCTTCCCTCCCAGGCCAGAGGGAGGAGATTAGTCAACACTTGTGAATGGCTGGACATGGGGCCTCTCTAGATGCTCAGGTTATTTCCTAAGCTCCACAAGGCAATAGCCACGTACACAGAGCGCAATGCAGTCACAACAAGGCTGCGAGGGTCTACATGCACAACCCAGCCAGACTGACAGCAAAGGATGGGCACAAATTATTGAGGACCAGCTTATTCGGGAAATGATGCAAACCAACCATGAATAAGGACAAAAGAGTCTCCCAGAGGCTGCTGGAAGTGTTGCAGGTCTGGGAACGAGCAGGAGTGCATTCCTGACGCTGACGCTATGTATCATCCTTGCTGCTGCAGGTGACTGGCCCCTGTACTGCTCTGTCCTTGGCTTTCCTATTTGTTCAACATTTCTCACCACAAGCATCATAGTTACCTCTAGCAACTCATTGACCCTGCATTTTCATCCAGGTATTTTTAGCTAAAGAGCAGGGGGCTGTGCTGATCCATGCCCG